AGTCCTGCTTTACACAAGCAAGGCTAAATGTAGTGTGGGGAAGCCGATTGTTTGTTTACAAGTGATCTCGGCGATGTCGCCGAGATCACTTGTAATAAGACTGCAGCCTGTCTGTCCTCCCCCCTTCCCTGACCTACCTCTCCCCTCGCTGGCTCCGTTGTAAACAATGGGAGCCCTGCCGCTCCATGTAAACAATGGGAGGGGAGAGCTGTGCTCTTCCCATCTCAGCTGTCACAGCTGTTTCAGCACAGTGCTGTGCTAGAACTGGGCTTGTTAGGTCCTGTGTGATAGCGATAAAGTTAAGTGAAAACAATTGATAAAAAAAGAATTAAATAAAAAAATAAGTAAAAAATAATAAGAAATAATAATGACATAAAAAATAAATAAATAGGTAATTAAAAAGTAGAAAATAATAAGAAAAAAAATAAGAAAAAAACGAATAAGAAAATAATTATTAAAAAATAAACAATAATAAGATAACAAATTATAACAAATAAAAAGTAAACAATAAGATAAATAACATTTAAAAAAGTAAAAAACATAAATAAAAACAAGTGATAAAAAAAGTTTTTTTAGAAAGGTAAAAATTAAAAAAATAAAACTAACCCTGCCGCCCCTGCCATCCGGTTGCCATTCTCCATTGATGGGGGGGTTAGGGGGGGTTGGCGGGGAGGGGGTTGCATTGCGGAACCTGGCCTTGGGGCAGCAGGGAGAGAAAAACTGGCCCTGCCCATACCACCACTTTGCTTGGCTCAGGTCAGTAAAGAGTAGATGAGGAATAGTAAAAGAACCTGAGAGTAAAGCAATTTTATTTGGGAAGGTCTGCAGAAGATACATGTGTGATATTATGGCCTTTTTAGGGCATTGCATCAGCTTAACCAAGACAGTGGGAGGTTTCACCAGCAGAGTCAATACTTGTTTTGGTCTTTACAGCAAAAGGGTAAAACTGGTCTTAAATAATTGATTTAGATCTGCTGTAATATGTGTACTGAGGTATTTAATGTTGTCTTGGACCCATAAGAAGGGAAAGAATGGTTTCACATGCCTTTAACTGGTAGGTAGAATTGGCATATTCAGAGTTCCTGGTTTGAATACGTTTTTTTTTAAGTTTCACAGTTTCTTATGTTTTTTGATGAAGCCTAGTCTGTTGGGGAAGGAAGTGGTTGGTTGGTTGGTTGGTTGGTTGGGTAATGAATATCTTTAAATTATCAGCATGTGCCCCAGCTTTGTGATGGCCAGATGATTCAATGAGACCAGGTATATTAGGTGTTCACCTATTTGTCCTCAGGAAGGCTTCTAGTGATATCATAAAGATCAACAAGGAAAGGGGACACCCTTGTCTAGTCCCATTTGAAGTTATAAAGTATTCCGATCCAGCTTCATTTACTTCAGCCTGGATTTGGGAACAATTGGTAAGACAATTAGATATTCTAAGTTAGTAGTCTCTGCATTCAAAAAGGTGACTACACACTGGCAGATATTTGTATGAACATCCATACAAAAAAATATAATCACAGCATTCAATATTGCCATCAGAGACTCGTAGAATATGGTTCAAAATTTAATTCGGTTTTAACATTCAATTCTGGAATGAATGGAGTTGAGGAAAAGGAAATGGAGAAACTTTTTTCCAACCTGCTCCTTTAATTTTTTTTATCACTAAGATGGAATTGATCATCAATTTGACTCCATGAACTATTAGAAAATCAAATGAATGTTCCAAAAACAATTTTTTCTAAATCAAATTCTACTGGTGTAGGGCTATTATGAAACAGCCACAAAAAAGTAATCAGAGATCACAAACCAGAGAGCTTGTAACAGTTAAATATTTCATATTTTCACTGATGTGTTATTTTCTACCATTTATCCTAGCAACCCCACAGAGAGTTCTGAAAGGTATATATACGGCTCCCAGGAATACATAAATCAGTGCATGGAACATCTCAGTCCGTGAACACCTAGTGCTGCCGACATGCTGTGTTAATCTACATTATACATTAGCTAAATATCTATCTATCTATCTATCTATCTTTCTTTCTTTCTTTCTTTCTTTCTTTCTTTCTTTCTTTCTTTCTTTCTTTCTTTCTTTCTTTCTTTCTTTCTTTCTTTCTTTCTCCCTCTCTGTTCCTTCCTTCCTTTCTTTATTCTTCTCTGTCTATGTTGCCCTACCCTTCTCTCTCCTTTTCTCTCCTTCTCTCTGTGTTCACTGCCACTACAGAATCATTAAATACAGCTTAACAATAGCCACAATGGCATAACATGTGATGAGGAAATCTGCAATACATACTGGTGAGTAAGAAAGGCAATGGGGTTGATTTACTAACCTAAACACACGCACTCACCAGGTGCGTGTGATTTTCACACAGCAAAACGTATTTATCAACCAAAAAGTCTCTAAAAGCATATTTCCACTAATGCCATATATGGAAAAATCATGCACATGATGCATATATAATGCTGCTTCACAGTTTAGACAAAAATGGTTAGCTCATGCATTTACATTCCTGCATTCATCAACGCAAGCAACACAACATAGAGCTAATTTACGCAACATCACCGTGCAATTCATGCAGGGCTTTGCACAACACACCTGCTGGGTGTGTACACACTACAAATGTGTTTAGATTCCCCCCATAGATCATGCTGGGAGGGAACACACTACAGAGGTGTATATATGTTCGTGGTGTGTTTATAAGGTTAGTAAATCAACCCCAATATATCACATTTATAAATTCACTGTTAGTAGGAAACATCAAAGTAATCCAGTCATGGGAGATATACGTGAGCTGTTGTTGCATACTTGCTTGCCGGGCAACATCCTGGCAAAGCACAAGTACGCAGATGAAGACATGTTGACTTCACCTTCTTCACACTTGTTCTGGGCCAATGAATATATTGAAGCCATAATGCCAGCATGGCAGCCAACCAGGAATGGCTCTAGAAAATCTAGTGCCAGAGCGGTTTAGAAGGACACCCCAACAGACTCCATGTCCCTAAGCCTGCATGTGCAGACACATAAATCTATAAATAAAAATGTTCCAGTGATTAGATAGTTTGACCACCACCTGATGTCTATGGCCAATTTTAGGTATGATTTAGTCTTGAGTTTCCCTTACAGTTACAGTTGACTTGTAGTGATATTCTGCCATTTTTTGCTGTCCAGCAAAAAATGGCAGATAGAAGGTTGAGACAAACTATTTAACACTGATAAAGATGCTTACAATAGTCAGCTTTTATTCAGTTATGTGAAACCTTCATCCCTAAGGCCTGGTTCACACTAAGCGTTCACATCTGAGCGTTTTGTTGCAATAAGCAAAATGCCTGTCGCTGGAAAAAGTACAGGATTTTTGGCATATTACAGCTCGTTTTGGCCCCATAGACTGAATAGGAAATGCCTGTTAGCTGTGTATTTGTGCATTTGTATGCGCATTTTATGCGCTTTTTCTCATTAACATAGCTACAATCTGACCACAAAAACATGCAATAATGTGCATCACAAAAGCGCATTAAAACATGCAAAAACGCTGTTGCCTAGGTGCGATCCAGGCCTAAAGGAAAAAAAATGTTGCTGTAACTGCTTAAAAAGCTGTTAGCTGGAGTTTGGATTGTTAGTCAAGTCTAAATCTGCTACTGCATCTAACACCAACCTCCCCACAGGGTGACAATTCTCCTGTCCAAGGGTGCCTCTGTTGTTCCTCCATAGACTGGAGCCACCCTAGTCCAGGAAGTGTGTTACTGCCTGGATCACCAGGTGGAAATAAGGAAGAAAAAGCCAAACAAACGAATTCAAGGATTTGTAAACTGCAATATGTGCAGCCCCCCCCCCCCCTCTCTCTCTCTCTCTCTCTCTCTCATTTTCTCCCTCTCTCTCTCTCATTCTCTCTCTTTCTTATATAACTTCCTTATATAGCGTGGTATTCTCATGAACACCCCCAGAATCACCCCTTTTATGGAAAGTGGTTACTTCAAGGTGATTTATTTTTTGCCACAAGTTTTTGGAATTGAAGGTGATGGTAATGAGGTGGTTAAAGGTGCACTTAACCTTTAAAAGTTGCCCAATGAAGTCAATGCAAGTCTTCTGATAATAGTGAAGGGAATTTGCCTGGAAGATAACATTGCATTGAAATTGCATTATGTTCATTGGCTAGATGTCATGGATAAACCCAAAACAACTTAAACCCCCCCCATAACAATACTACCATAACGGGTGGTCAGAGGCACTTTAAGACCATCGAAAACATTGAATGGCTCAGTGACTTTTGCCATTTTTCTTACTGCATAATGACAGCAGGATCACATGCACCAATGTTAAACACTAGAATGTTCTTAAACATCCACTCAGAATACTCTGCTCCCACTACTGGCCCTTTTACTGCAGTGGCTGGTCTGGAGGTTCTTCCTGGATCCCCATCTTGAAAAAAACTTTCATAATTAGACAAAGTGAAGACACCTTTTTCAAAAATTACAATTTTGTACCCCCGGAGCAGGTCAGCCTCATAAAAATATTATTTTACTCTTAAAGAAAACCCATCATGATAAAAAATATAACTAGTTTTTTATGACATTTAGTAATTCTTTTTTTGCTATATTTAAAGTGACATTAAAGTCAAACTTGTTTCCCCCTCCCTCAGTGTTAATGTCAGCACTTACTGTGTCTGCATGCGGGTGCACGCCCTCCATAGACTTACCTTGCGTCTCTCCGCGTCTCCCGGCCGTAAATCAGAACTGCGCATGCGCCCGCCCCAAGATGCTTTGCGGCTGACTGAGCAGTTTCGGATTTTCTGGCGGGAGCGTGCGGCATAGACAGGGGTAAGTTTAATCTGCTGTTAAAGCGGTTTCGTTTTCAAAAAAACTTTTTGCATATATGTACTGCTTGCTTTAGAAACCCTTTAATACTATTCTGCTGCTAGCAATGATATATTTTCCATAATAATATTTTTTAAATGTCTGTAGCTGTTTTTTTCTCAGTAGTGGGAACAATGAACGGGACACATGTAACTGAAATAATACTCCTTGGATTTGAAAACCTGCAAGATTTCAAGTATTTAGTTTTCTTTTTGTTCCTCGTCATCTACCTAGTGACTGTTACTGGAAATGTTGTCATTATTCTATTGGTATTGAACAGTCATCGTCTTCGATCGCCCATGTTCTTCTTTCTTGGTCACCTCTCATTTTCGGATGTGTTACTGACTTCAAATATTGTTCCAAGCATGCTCCACATAATATTATCCGGAGGTGGCATTGTGCTGCTTGGAGGTTGTATGACTCAGTTCTTCTTGTATGGTTCTTCAGCAACCACAGAATGTCTTCTCCTCTCGGCCATGTCCTACGACCGATACCTTGCCATATGTAAGCCACTGCATTACACAACAATTATGGACCTTAAACTCTGCTTCTATCTGGTTCTCATTTGTTGGTCTTTAGGATTTGCCATAACCCTCATTCCAGTTTTCTTAATGCAGACTTTGTGGTTCTGTGGCCCGAATGTGATTGACCACTTCTTCTGTGATCTTGGCCCACTGCTTGAATTGTCCTGTTCAGAAGTTTCCATAGTGAAATATGAAGTGTTCGTATTTTCTAGTCTCCTGACAATTGTTCCATTTGTGTTCATCACCGTGACGTATGTGTACATTTTTCTGACCATCCTGAAGATAACTTCAGCCACCGGGAGACAGAAGACCTTCTCCACCTGTAGCTCCCATCTGGCCGTTGTATGTACCTATTATGGGGCACTGTTTGTCATGTATGTGGTTCCTTCAAGAGGACAGTCGTTGAACATGAACAAGGTGGTATCTCTGATGTACACTGTGGTCACCCCATTGTTTAACCCTATAATATACAGTCTGAGGAACCAAGAAATAAAATCAGTCATACAGAAATACATATTTCTGTGCAGGAAAAACTGCAAAAATTGAATTTGTAAAAAAAAAGGTTTTTGTATCTCCAAAGATGTGGTTTGTAACTGGTGGACTGCACAACATTTGTTATATGAGTGTATAAATTCTTTACAGCTAAGACTATTCGGGTCAACAAAGAAACCAGCTGCGTTTAGCAGTGCTGGTAGCCCTAGTATTTATCCTTACAGGAGATGTGATGAGTGGGGTCATAAAGGAATATCCCATTTCATGAAAAGGATTCCACCCATAGCACCCTAGGGTCTTTTCTGGGGGTTATACATGCATCAGAAACAAGAGTGGGGTCATAAAGGAATATCCCATTTCGTGAAAAGGATTCCACCCATAGCACCCTAGGGTGTTTTCTGGGGGTTATACATGCATCAGAAACAAGACATCCTGTAGTGCTGGGGAGATAACACCTTGTGGCTACACATCACCTAAGGATCAAAGAGAAGGCTGTGACCTGAAATTGACTTAGACCAAGGAGTTTGCCCACAGTAGGATGGCGCTATCTGCTGGAGGACTTCAGTGAGCACTGACAAATCCTAAGGAAGATGCGGATTGGACAACAGACTCATAAGGGGTCTGAGGGCATCTGGGTAAAGGGGTGTCAATGTAGGTGTATGACTAGAACTTGTGCATTATAAAAGAAAGCACTCAGCCATCTTGCTCCCTCTCTCTCTGAGCCCAGCCAAGATATAGAACTAGAGGACGGACTTGCTACATAACATATTATCTTTGCTTTTATTATGCTTAATTTTAATAATCATATTTATTTATTTTTATAGTTATTACTATTTGTTTTTATTTTCTTTCTGTACAAATAAATGGGACCATTGATTCTTTTAGCACTTTTGGTATGGTTATTATTATTAATATTTTGTATTATTATTACTATTATCAGAAGTCTGGCAGTTTAGTTTATTTCAGTAGGGGCAAATTAGAATTTATTTCAGAAACTAATTTTACTATCCATTACATGTACTAGTTGAAGGATTGCGATTCTGCTACATTTATAGTAAATCATCCGTGGCCATTGACCCCTCCATAGGGCAGCACATTGTAATATTACCTTGCTTAGACATGTTTTAAGTGTATGCTTTGTAACTGTTAGCTCAGTCTTGGCTGTATAACCCGCTGTTACCTGATTCATTATGGCAGCTCAGATGTTCAGACTTCTCATCCTTCACTCCATGCATGCATTTACCAGGTAATGAAGAACTAGACAATGGAGCCAGTATCAGTTTGACATCTCTAAAGCCTGTACTCATAGGCGTCACTACAGGGGGGCAAGGGGGGGCAATTGCCCCCCTGTGTTATGCTTTGCCCCCCCGTGTGCCCCCCCGCTGAATTAAGCAGCAGTGCAGTGGCTCCAGTGCTGGTGCTAGTATACGAGCAGCACCAGCGGCTGCTGTCTGTAGAGATCTGGATGTAGCTGTATTGTCAGCCCCGCCCCCCTGCTGCTGACTTTGAAGTTGCTGAGCCCGCACTGTGGCCGTAGCTGACTGTGAGCCTGCCATGCAGTGTGTGGAGCTCCTCACAGTAAGTTCTCCCTCTGCTCTTAGAGGACAATCGTTTTTTAACACTTGCTCCTGCTCCCAGGTGGAGGTGCAGGGCATGTGAATACATAGTCTGTGAAGTGTGAACTGTCAGAGCACTTCTCCTGGTGCCACAGGAGGGGGGAGGGGGAGGGGAAGGGAGAGAGATTGTGATCCCTGGTGCAATGCCATAAATGAAAGATCTTTGTAGTAGATTTGACTGTTGTATCTTATGTGCCCCCCTACATATTGTTCCTAGAGTCGCCACTGCCTGTACTGTAATAAAAAACGCTCTCCTTCCCTACTACCATGGATGTGATACAATCTTTGGTGCATTGCTCATCTGGAATCTTATTCTTCTGTGGCTCCCTGCTCGCAATGTGTAATAGGGTCTGATCTTGGGATTTTTAGACTTATACACAATAGGACCAATTGCAAGTTAACCAACCAGCATATCTTTGAACTATGGGAGGAAACCAAAAGAGAACATGCAAACTCAATTCAATAGAATCCTGGCTAGAATGTGAACCAAGGACCTCATTGCTCCAAGACATAAGTGATAACCACTGTGCCACTATTCTGCCACTAGAATGTCCTCACAGGTTATTTTAGTCATGCAATTACAGAAATGTACCACTAAAATCCCCTATTCCCCTCTAGACCATCATTATGTTATTTATTTTACCTTTTTTCTGTAGCAAGAAACAACTTTATTATTCCCTTTGATATCTTTACGTGGCTTGTAGGGGCAGCTACGTGAAGGTCAGTTTCCACTGAAGGAGACACACCCCCAGAATTTCAACTTCTAAGGCTGGGTTCACACCTAGGCGTATTGAATATGCGCGTTTGTAGCACGTTTCGCGTCGTGCATTTTTACCGCGATTCGCAGTAAAAAAAACACATGACAAACGCCCGTTTCCCAGGGCTACTTGGCTGTATCCCAATGGAAACGCGAGACCAAAACGCCCCAAAGAAGTAGTTACATAGTTACATAGTATTTGAGGTTGAATAAAGACATTAGTCCATCAAGTCCAACCTATTAGGATCTCATTCTAGGAGTACCCGTACCCCTGTATATTACCTGTACCCCTGTATATTACCTGTACCCCTGTATATTACGGTCCCTTAAGAAATCGTCCAAAAGTTTCTTGAACAATTCCACATTATTTGCTGAAATCACCGCCTGTGGCAGTGAGTTCCAGACCCTAACTGATCTTACTGTGAAGAACCCCCTTCGCCCCTTGTGCTGGAATTTTTTTTCCACCAATTTTAGGTGGTGGCCTCTAGTTTTTGTAATGGAGTTAATTTTAAACAGTTTATCGCTAATGTTGCTGCCACCATTGAACATTTTGTACATGGAAATCATATCCCCCCTTAATCTCCTCACCTCCAATGTGAACATGTTTAAATTTAGTAGCCTCGTCTCGTAGCTCTGGTCCTCCATACCCCTAATTAGTTTGGTTGCCCTTCGCTGGACTTTTTCCAACTCAAGGACATCTTTTCTTAGTACTGGTGACCAGAACTGGACCGCGTACTCCAGATGAGGTCGAACCAATGATCTATAAAGTGGCAAAATTATAGACTTGTCCCTGCAATACATCCCGGGCATAGGCCGTTTTGTATTTCGTCGAGCGTTCGTCGAGCGTTGAAGCGCTACAAAACGTTCAGGTGTGAACCAGGCCTAAGAGCCTTTTCTCTAGACACGGTGTGTGGACAGGCTCTTGGGAGTCAAGGCAGCAGCAATCCCGACATTGCTTAGAATTTCAGAGCAGCAAAGGCATGGTGTTGCCAACCTAAACAGGAAGCTAGGATTTCCCTGGATTTCTAGCAGATCAACATCAAATACAATACGCATTGCAGAGATGTACTGAATACGATTTTATCTCTGACAAACCATTTAAGTATAAGAGTTAGGGATTATAGGTGTCAATAACATTGAACACACATTTGAAAATTTGCTCAGACTGCTCATGGGTTTATTGTGACCAATCAAGGTATCTGTGAGTCAGCAAACATACCAAATGAAACCAGAACAAGTTAATATTTCCTTTGCTATAATATAAAAAGGGCTTAGGAGATAAAGGATATATTTATAAACCATTCACACAGTGAACAGCCATGTGAACGAGATTCACAGTGCATTATGGCCACTTGATGGAGCTAAGGAGCATAAGAATTTCCTATGCTCCTCAGCTCCATCTAGTGGCCATAATGTGCTGAAAATCTTCTTTTCATTTCTGTGCACCCAGTTAGTGTTGAGTTGTGCGGGACTCCTCCTCTCCTCCATTCCTGATGGTGAGAAAGTTAAGAGGGGTACACATATATAAATTTACCCACCCTACTTTGACCCTAGTGAGTTTACATGGAAGTATGCCACTGTGTATTAAAGATGAAGGAGTAATGCTGTATCGTGTGCAGCAGTACCGTTCATTATGAATGGCACCCCAACACATCTTGCCAGTGGATATCTTCACAAAATGCACATCTGGGTACTGTGTAGAAAAAGGAAGTTCATGTCTGACTTTGTGCATTTAAGTACCCCATTCAAAGGAACGTGACATACAATGAACGTTAATACATGTAGTAACACATGTTAAAGAGACATTGCCAGTTCAGTGCAAAGTAACAATGTCTGTAAAAAGGCCCCCTTCAACCCGCTTATGCTCACCTTTGCAGCAATTCCTATTGTTCTTTCCTTCAGCACAGCCACCGTGAAAATATCTAGTGTCAGCTGGTGTATGTGCATAGACGGAGTGGTGACCTCACCTTTCCATCATGAGACAGTGCTTGGGCCTAGTGACTAGCTGCTGGAACCAAGCAATATCACATGTTCCCCTTATATTTGGAAGCAACAGGTATGGTGCTCAGAGGTAGTGAAGCAGAATTAAAATTGTTATTGTAAACAAAACAGAAAACAGCATTGGGTCCCCTTCCCAAAAAATACCAGACACTTTAGGTCTTGTAGGAATGTAATGGGGGACCCCAATGCCAAAAAAATCTAGAAATCAAAGTGCAGGGCCCCCCTAAAATCCTATACCAGACCAATAAAACAAGCAGTGGCCTGGAAGAGCTTGAACAAAAAACACAAGACAGTTTTTGACAATTGCTTTATTTAGAAAAAAAAAACAATAAAAATTATCCATCGATGTAAATCACAGGTCAATAACATCATCCAGCGATTTAGATCCACGTCAATCATGATGAACGACGGCTCACCAGAAGAAAAGAGTCCCAGCGCTCGCCAACCCTTCCGATCCTGCCTAACTCCCACTGCAAAATGACAGCTCTGACCAGAATGTAAACAAATTGGCGGAGTGAGTGGTGACGTTACGGAACTTTCACCACCCATTTGTTTTCATTCCATGCCAGCTCTCTGCTCCCTAAATGGGCGGAGAGATTTGTGACATCATGACTCGCTCGATCCATTTGTTTACATTCGGGCCAGAGCTATCATTTTGCGGCAGGAGTCCGGCAGGATCGGATGGGTTGGCAGGACGGCGGGAATTTTTTTCTTATGAAAGGGGGCACCCAATGCTGATAAGCTGCCCCTACCCCCAGACCCCCACAATAACTGGACCAGGGTTATGGGGAACAGGCCCTTGTCCATCATCGACATGGGTTCCCCCCGGCAAAGCACGATTCCATGTTGAGGGCATGTGGCCTGGTATGGTGCAGGGGGGGGCGCATGCTCGTCCCTCCCTTTCCTGGTCTGCCCTTATCTATCTGCTGCTTGGCTTAAGGGTCTGAATGGGGTTTTAGGGGGGATCTCACTTTATGAGAAGGCAACTTTCCCATAATGTGTTCTTATTCTCTTGCCCACACCCGCTAACTAAATGTAGCTCACCACCCCCCTTCCAAATCTCTCTACTTGGTCAGTTCTTGTTCATAGGCCTACAGCATTATTTTCATTCCTTCAACAGCTTCTTCATCTGATGTTCACTTGTGTGCAGTTCAATCTCATAGTCCTCTATGGGTCTGGTAGACAAATTGGCCCCATACATCTGCCAGTACCATAAATGACTATAGAACTAAACTGTGTTTGTTTGGACGTCTGATGATGAAGCCTACAAAGGAACGTAAACAATGGCACAGGTCTTGGAGCTAAATCTAGGTAAGTATAGCCTTTGGGAGTGGGCTACTTTGTTTTACCTATACTGTGTCAGAGAGACATGGGTGGGAAAAGTATTACATCTACAGGCAGATAGATATAGGTAGGCAGGTATGTTACAGGGGGACAAAACACTTCTGTAGTCGTCCTATCAACAGACTGCATCATACATTTGTTTTTTTATATTTTTTTTTTAAGTCTGTTTTAAATAATTCACATTTTCATTAACACACAATGGTTTCTGGGGACTACTTATCCTAGCAAGATACAGTGTATTGTCACATAGAGAATTAATAAACAGTATATAAATGGCTCCAGTGAATACATAAATCAGTCCATAGAAAGGCACAGTCTATGAGAGTGGGGTGCTTCTATCTATCTATCTATCTATCTATCTATCTATCTATCTATCTATCTATCTATCTATCTATCTATCTATCTATCTATCTATCTATCTATCTATTTTTTTTTTCTATTATTATTTTTTCCTTCTGTACTCCCTCCATTTTATACTGTTTCTCTTCCTCTATTTCTTCCCATTCTATATAAGAATCCTTGACTGTTAGAAAGAATTACTGACTTCTGATTCAGTAAAAGTAATAAATATCTTGCTCACTCCAGATAAACTTGAGCTTTTCGTTAGAACTGCCAATGATGGCCAAACAGGCAATTCCCAAAAACCTGTTTTGGGTTTATGAAGACATGTAGGTTCCTACCTACCCAGGACACCATAGCAAGAGGAGGCAGAGTTCCAAGCCACATTACATGTCTCCTCTGGTGCCATTGGACTATTTTCTGGGATTTGCAACAAGCTCTTTTAATTTGCACCTTTGTAAGTACATATGGTTTTTTATGTTTCTTTGTAGGTTTTCATAATGTTCTTGTAATCACCCTTTCACACCTGTTTTTTTTCAACACTCCAACACTGGCTGACAGTCTTTTGTAAACTTTAATCTGTTGATTTTTATCTATGTATTTATCCATGTCGATATAGATGCAGTACTTGTATAATTTACATTTTTATGTGTCTGATTATCACATTTGTTTCATAGTATATTTTTAATTTATCAAGGTGCGAACCTTGACTCCGACTTCACTTTTCTACCACACATCCAATCACTTTCCAAATCCTTTACTTTCATAACATCTCCAAAATTCACCCCTTCCTAACCAATGAAACTACAAAGCTACTCATCCACTCACTTGTCATTCCTCACCTCGACTATTGCAACTCCCTCCTTATTGGCTGTCCTCTACACAGGCAATCCCCCCGTTCAATCTATTACGAATGCTGTTGCTGCTAAACTCATCCACCTAACCAACCGCTCAGTTTCTGCAACCCCCCTCTTCCAATCCCTCCACTGGCTTCCATCCCCCATCCCCTCTGCCAATCCCTCCACTGGCTTCCAATCGCCCAAAGGATAAAACTCAAAATATTAAAACCCACTTACAAAGCCATCCTCAACTCTGCCCCTGGATACATCTCCAACCTCATTTCAAAGTATCATCCTAACTGTCCCATCCACTCCTCCCAAGACCTCTGGTTCTCTAGCTCCTTCGTCACCTCCTCCCATGCTCACCTCCAGGACTTCTATAGAGTATCTCCAATCCTTTGAAACTCCTTACCCCAACCTATTCAGCTATCTACCACTCTGACTTATTTTAGGTGATCCCTTAAGATTCATCTCTTCAGGGAAGCCTATCCCACCTCCAACTAACCACTCAACCATCACATTCTCAAGCAATTAATCCCCACACAGCTACCTCCTCATGTATCACTTGCCTCCCTTTTAGATAGTAAGCTCTCATGGGCAGGGTCCTCCTTACCATCTTTAATGATAATACCTTGCTGTATCGTATGGTCTGGATTTACCCTTTGCTCTTCCTCTTGCTCACCCAGTTAGTGTGTTACTGCAGGAGTATTATAAGCAGGGGCGTATTTACCACGAGGCAAACTAGGCGTTTGCCTAGGGCGGCACCTTCCTGGGGGGTGGCCGTAAGCAAACGCCTATGTTGTGAAGAGGAGGGGCGAGCCGGAGCACGTCTGTGTGTAGGAGTAGAGGGCGGCTTGCCTGCTTGTGAAGAGGGCGGGAGGACGGATGGAGCCGGACAGCGCAGCCGACGGATGGGATCGTGACTCAGAAAACAAAAAGCAGCCGGCGGCCACATAATCGATCTTACTGCTTCCCGGGTCACAGCGGCTCTGTGACCCGGGAAGCAGTAAGATCGATTATGTGGCCTCTGTGACCCAGGAAGCAGTAAGATCGATTTAAGTGGCTGCTGTGACCAAGGAAGCAGTAGGAACGATTATGTGGCCGCCGGCTGCTTTTCGTTCTCTGAGTCACAATCCCATCCGTCGGCTGCGCTGTCCGGCTCCCGTCCTGAAGTGACGGCAAGTAATCACGCGGGGGTGGGGTGTTATCGGTGCAAGTCCCCCCGGGGGGGTTTCAAGGGGGGAGGGGGGGTGATAGTTAGATGCCGGGGGCGGCCGAAGCTTGGCTTGCCTAGGGCAGCCAAAAACATAGATACGCCACTGATTATAAGTACTAATTAATGACGAACAGGTTCAAAAAGGTGTTGGATCCTATGGCACCCTGAAATAGATTTGTTTTTTACTTTCTCTGTTATTGATGTCCAGACAATTGGAATTGGAAAAAAAATATCCAGAGATCAGATGGTTTGATCTAAGTTTAACATCTACGGCCAATATTAGCCAAAATTTTAATCTGCAGTTTACTGCTAATTATATTTTCTTTATCAATGACTGTACATTAAAAATAAGAACTTGCCCTGTGCATTCGTATAGTATGCTCTGTACTGGTATAGGGCTTTGAAATCTCTTGTTTTGAACTCTCTTTTTCTCTCTCGACTGTTACTCCTGAAATGTCATTGCATTGTTGACCAAGAAAACTCTTAATAAAAAACTATTTGCTAATTAACATTCTTAAAAACTTCTCCTCTGTTTTTTGTTTTGTTTTTTTTTGGGGGGGGGGGGGGGGGATTACAGTAAAAAAGGTAAAAATGTGTTTACTTTAATTATCCAATCATGTACAAGTAATAATTGTGCTTTTCTTTTTTTTTCTTGCTTATAATACAGAATTCACCAGTAAGAAGAAGGAGGTCCTAATATCCCTATATTGATCTCTAGTTAGATCTGATTTACAATACTGTGTCTAGTTATGAAAACCTCACTTACAAAAAGATAGAACAAGTCTAGAGATGGGAGACAAAATAGTGGTTTAAGGGATTAAACATATTAGTAAAGAACACAGGAATATAATAAGTACAATCTCAGGGAAAGAAGGGAAATGGGGCATGGCTGAAGCCTTTAAATGCTGTAAGGGTGTGGATAAGGTTCTGAAGGGTGGTATGTTCAAATCAAGAATATAAAACAAACCTTAGAAAATATTATTTTACCAACAGAGTTGGTGTTTGAAGCAGACTTCCAGCAGAGGTAGTGAGTCAATCAATAGTATGTGAATATAAAAATGCTTGGGACAAACATAATAGCTACATACAACAGCCAGATGGGAGCTACAGGTGGAGAAGTTCTTCTGTCTTCCAGTGGCTGAGCTTGTCCTCAATACTCAGGAAAAAGGTTAAAATAAATAAACAAATTGCCAGATTCTATAGACAACTTGGTCTTTTTCTGTCATCACTCAATCTGAAAACCACCTTATTGACTGAGGGAATCTT